CCTGCTATATAGCACTCTAAAAAGGTCCTTGAGAGCATTACTGGCACAAATTTAGCAAGATCTTCAGCTTGAAGAGCAGGAAGTACTTCTAGCTGTTCTACCCAAGGCCAGGTTTGATCCTGTAGTATCAAAGAACAATAGAACATAGCCTGCTGATAGGGTTGTTGGTACTTGAAATTCTGGTATTCCTTGGTCACCGTTTCCTGATAAAAGTGAATAAAAGCAAATAAATAAATTTGAATGAACTAAATATAAATAAGACGACGTACTGAAATGGATACACCATAATTCAAATATTGAACAAGAGCTCTTATTCTTTCGTTGCCAACATGAGAACCGGTTTGGTCTTATTTTTTTCATACAAATATGCTACTACAATATGTATCTTATTTTTTACATACAAATGCTACTACAATATTTTTTTTCATACAAATCCCACGATTTTGCAATTATGTTTGCCCTAAGAGATTAAGAGCATACGTTAATCGTTGAACCCTATAATCTACTATCTTTGCAACGTTTCTGCGATTTTGCTTATAAACGAATTTTAATTTATTTAAATATTTGAAGTGTGATTTAAGGTTTTAATTATCTTTACTTGTTAGCTATGCTTATGAATTTAAATTTACACAAGCAATTCAAATGATATAAGATCTGCTTTATCTTGCTAATGCTATTCCATGATATAAAGTTTACTTCGCCTTCCCAATTTTGCGTAAAATCTCAATTTGAACTACCTTGATGGCCAAAACGATGAGCAAAATACGAGGGACTGGGGGGAAATTATGCAATAATTTAAATTTTGAACTCCATGAGCCGAGGACTAAAATGGCAACGACAAACTAACTAAATGTCATATGAGAAGAGCCTTGAACCGTACCTTGATAACTGAGAACCTGTCAGTTTTCACTCTGAATGTCGCAATCTCATCAACAATAGTTTCAAGTAGAACCCTTAATTTGTGATTATAACCAAGGAGATTCACCTGAAAAAAGATGACAATTCTCAATTATGCAATCATTCAAAAACACGGAAAGAGAAACTTAATCTGATTTTATTTCCATTTACATTATATTCCTACACAAATTTATCATGCACAGCAGCAGAAAAATAGCAACTAGCGGAATGTTCAATAAAGAAACATAAGATCTGATACATAAACAAAGCTCGAGTTCATTATAATGAGTGGAGAAGTCATAAATTTTGTCAAAATTATTCTTCCTTGATATAATAATCAATTTAACCAGGTTACTGTGCTTTCAAATTCATTATTATCAGTATGTCAACAAGGTTGGTTAGGTAATCATTTCCTTACCTTACACCCAAACTCTATGAATCAATAATCCTATAGGTAAGTCTTAAATGTGACTTTTGTCTAAATCAATCATAAAAATGTAGATTTAAACTAAATTATACTAAATCCAAATACCTGGAAACCGGCATCTGTATGGCTTATGCTATAATACAAACCAGCAACCTGAGCATAATAAGCTGAAAAATAAAATACAGTAAGCTCGTCTTCAACCTGAATTCAGCAACTGAATAGACACACCAAAGCATAAATCACTTTGAATAAAGCAGAGTAAGCTTAAAACTATAACCCACCATTATCATTCAAGTAATCCATCAATAGCTGAGTGAAAATGTGCGTCAAAATTTCAGCCTCAGGAGAGTTTCCAGCATATGGGCAATTGAAATTAATCTTAACATAAGCCTTTGGTGTGGAAAACAATGTATCTGGCTTGTACCATAATGCTGAATAAGATGACCTGCTTAACAAAACTGGAAATTTCACCTGCTTCAACGTATCAATCATTTAGTCCAGTTAAAACCATGGAGAAAATCATAGATAACTACATAAGAAAGAAAAATATGCAATACTTTCTCTGGCGCAATTTTAAGAGACAAGTCAGTTGGAATGAATTTGTTAGGAGCTGGAAGATGCACATTTTCATTAGGAGCGGAAAGCACCCACCCCTGCAAATACAAACATACATAGGACCATTAAGTTCTACTCTTTCCAGGAAATTTCACTACACAAGTGGTCATAACAAACCCCAAAGTGCAAAAAATAAACGGTTCAAATTAATAATCCAGTCTAAAAATCAAGCACAATTTTCCCTAAAAACAAACCTGAATTGTTGAGGCAGTAATTTTTTCGATGGAATATGCAGTTCCATACCATGGTTCCACCTTATCAGTATGTCCTTCAAAACTTTTTGATTCCCAAAAGATTCTGCATAACAGAATGGGTTAGCTTAATTTCAATCAAGACAACCTCATAGGCTCAAAGCCCCACCAATACAAAATAACAAATGAAATAACAACAAATATGATCCTTTTGCAAATAGATACAAGAATAAATCACAAAGTTAAAATTTGAACTCCAGATACTAGTGGATAAGTTTCTGATATAGCTCATAGAGGATAAATTTCTCAATGGATTCATAAAGTTCAACCAGGATTTAGTGGCCTGCAAAAGAGAGGCGCCGCACATATGATATGCACAATCTGCCACCATCAAAAGCATACTACCACAATGATAACCAACCAAGTTCAATCATGATCTCTGGAAGTCTATATTTGCACATTGGATCAACCTTAATCGTCCTTTTTTAATCACTACTATTTTGAAGAAGAAAAATAGTATGACAGAACACCTAAAAGATCAATACACATGGACCAATTAAATATTGAATTTTTATTTTTTTACCAAATAGACACTTTTTACTAATCTTTCCCACATTTGAGTGGATTCGGAGAAAAAAATGGGTTACCCTTTTTGTAATCAGAGACAAGATCCAATCAAATGAAATTTGTGAGCGTGTATACAATTTATAATATGTAGTCTTGCAAACCACAAGAAACAATAGTCGTATAAATATTTTAGATATAAAACTGTTTAAGCTTTTAGGAGGGTTGGTCCTTCACATTCTTCATATAGATAAGTTTACAGCTTTTCTTTTAGTAGACTTACCGAACGTTATTTGGAGAAAGCTGGTCTAGAACCATTTGGATAACACTGGGGCTAAACTTAGAAGGCAATGATGATCCAACCAACCAATCTTTTGGAGGATAGTACTGTAAAATAACAAAGATTTATCAAGAAATTTGTTCCCATAACAAGAACTTCGGATAAACAACATACATCTCCACTGAGAAGTCATTGACAAAAATAACAAGATGGAGTACCTGCATATTTGATGCAATATTAACAACATAATCACTTGGAGGAATTTTATCCTGATAGTGAAACTTAGTCTCACAAACCGCTGAAAGCTTCATGAACAGGTGAAATTGCATTAAACTCCATAAAACCAGACGCACAAACAGAAAACTAAACAAGAGAAATTGTTAGCGAACTTATTGTAGCTCAGTGGTGGTACAGCGAGCTATAGGCCTACTGTCATAATTGAACAATAGAAGAAACTCATTGTCATCAATGAAGATAGTGATTTCAAGTAGTGTCAACTAAACACTCAAACCATATCAAAATCTTAATGAACTTCTACAATCATTACTCTCAAGTAATTATTTAAGAGCTTTTTTAATTTGAAAAAGAAAATCTTGATAATTGAAGAGAAAAAGAAACTCGAAATGATTAAAAGAAAAGGTTTGAGAACCAAAATCGAAAACAAACATCAAGAAAATATCTCATAAACCATAATTTTATATTAGGGTTGTTGGTTATGCATTGAGATGCATGGCAGAGAACATCGCAAGACAAACTCGAGTCACAGCACAACATTTTTTACTGTGTTTTGTTAGGAAGACAACAGACAAGACCAAAAAAATAGTATAACATTTTGTCCTGTGTTTTGTTATGTGTATCTTTTACATATAACAATAATAATAATAGGTTTTCTTGGTAAAAGGTGAAGAGGCAGAGCAAGTAGAAAAAGAACAATTGTTTGGGATATATCAAACCATAATACATAGCCTATGGATACCCATACCTCTTCAAATATCCATTCGCAAACACCAGACTGTTGTAGAAGTTTAATGTACTTGAACAACAACCCAACGATATCTTGCATGTGTTCTACAAATCCAAGCCAAAAGTACCAATGATTTTATTGAATCAATAAACAACATATAACAGAGCTTGAATTTAGTTGGGGTAAAAATAAGCATCAATGATTATGCAATGCTTTTCATGAAGAGCATGCTCCATGCTTAGTAGTTAACATGGTTCAACTTTTTGAAAGAGAATAATGTACACTATTAGATATCGGAATATTCCATATTATGTAAATAGAATATCCTGTAAGTAATTAGGATATCATGTAAATAGGAAATAGAATATTATGTAATTATTATAGAATATTATGTAATTACTATGGCATTTATGCCTCCTATTATATATAATGAGCTCCGATGTGTAATTCAAACACACGGATTCAATCCAACCTTACTCTTGTTCTCTCATTATTCAACATGGTATCTAGAGCCTAACAAGAGGCAACCCTAATCTGTGCTTTCCCAATAGATCCACTATCCATCGGCGCCAAATTTTTTTTCGGTAACCGTGCTTCATCTCCGGTTTCCAATATTCCTTCTCAGATCTTCCATTTTTTTTGGTCACTTCTCTCACCGTTCCCCCTCCAAGGGCTGAGGCCCCTATTTTCACAAGTCATATCACTACTCCTCTTGCCGTTGACAAATTGGACGGTACTAACTATGATTCTTGGGCTTCCGACGTCAAGTTACGGCTCCGGGGACAGGCCTATGAAGATCACCTCACTACGAAGGCTGACTCGGTGGCTGCCACTGATAGTGCTCGTTGGAAGAAAATTGATGCTCAACTTTGCAGTCTCATTAAGTCGACCATTAGTCTCATCCTTGAAACAGATCTTTCGTTCTCATGAGAGTTGCGAATCTGTTTGGGCACAGGCTAAAATCCTTTATACCAATGATACACAACGCTTATATGGAGTGTGTCAAAATTTGCAGAATATTATTTCCCCTCGTCACCTGGATGGTTCTATGGCTGAATACTTGGGCCGTGTTCAAGGTTTTCTTCATGATTTCAATGAATTATTGCCCCCAGCTGCTACCACTGCTAAGGAACTTGAACAACGTCGATCCTTCTTCATGCTTCTAGCTCTGTATGGCCTACCTCCAGAGTATTCGTCTGTTCGCGATCAAATATTAGGGTCTCCTACAATCCCCATTCTGGATACTGCATGGTCTACTTTGTTGCGTGTCCCAGCAAAACCATCATCTGACGGCGGAGTCCCACCCACACCAGTTGATTCATCTGCTTTGGTTTCTCAAGGAGGTAATCGTGCTCCGGGTGGTGATTGTGGCCACTTTCAGAAGACAGGAAAGTCTCGTCCTAAGTGTGATCATTGTCATAAGCTTGGCCACACTATTGACCGGTGTTATGCTTTACATGGACGTCCCTCTCCTCGGACTGCCCACGTTGTCCAGACCGCTCCACCTTCACAGGCTGCTACTCCGACTGATTCTGCCACCTCACCTGCTATCTTCAACGACTTTATCAAGTGGTATGAGGAGCGTCAGGCCGCTAGTTCCACTGCCTCTGTTGCGCACACGGGTATTTCTTTTACTGGTCTTTCTCACTCCACATCTCTTGGCCCATGGATCCTTGATTCAGGCGCCACTGATCACATTACTGGTAATAAATCTCTTTTTTCTTCATTCTCAACTTCTGGTTTATTACCCTTTGTCACATTAGCAAATGGCTCTCAAACTCAATCTCAGGGTACTGGTACTATCCACCTTTTCCCTCGCTCTCCATTACTAATGTTCTTTATGCACCCGGATCTCCGTTTAACTTATTGTCTCTAAGTCGTTTGACTCGATCTCTTGATTGTACTATCTCATTCACCAAAGGTTCTTTTTTCTTGCAGGACCGGAGTTCGAGACGGATGATTGGCACCGGATGTGAGTCTAATGGTCTTTATCTTCTTCAACCATCTGCACATGTTGGTTCCGTGGTGGATTCTCCCCTCCTGGTTCATGCTCAGTTAGAAAATCCAAGTCTTGCAAAGTTACAAAAGTCGGTGCCCAACCTTTCCAAGTTATCTACGTTGTCTTGTGAGTCTTGTCAATTAGGAAAACATGTTCGTAGTTCTTTTCCGAGTCGTGTCAATCGTCGTTCTAAGTCTCCGTTTGCTCTAGTTCATTCGGATGTTTGGGGTCCTAGTCGCATTGTTTCCACTTTAGGGTCTAAGTATTTTGTTACCTTCATTGATGATTATTCTCAATGTACCTGGTTATTTTTAATGGAAAATCGATCGGAGTTATTTGCTATTTTTCAAACATTTTATAATGAAATCAAAAATCAGTTTGGTATATCCATTAGTACTTTGCACAGTGACAATGCTCGAGAATATTTATCTACTCAATTTCAAACTTTCATGGCTACTAACGGTATGCTTCATCAAACGTCTTGTGCTCACACACCACAACAAAACAGAGTCGCTGAACGTAAAAATAGACACCTAGTTGAAACCACTAGGACACTCTTACTTCACAATAATGTTCCTCAACATTTTTGGGGTGATGTTGTCCTTACGGCTTGTTATCTCATAAATAGGATGTCATCATCTGTCCTCAACAATCAGATCCCTCACTCTATTCTATTTCCTCACCAGTCTCTTCACCCATTACAGCCTAGAGTCTTTGGGTCTACATGTTTTGTCCATAATGTTAGTCCTGGACTAGACAAACTCTCAGCTCGTTCTCATAAGTGTGTGTTCTTAGGCTATACAAGATCCCAAAAGGGATATAAATGTTACTCCTCGTCTCTTTGTCGATATTTCGTCTCTGCTGATGTCACATTCTTTGAGTCAGTCCCTTACTTTGGGACGTCTACAGGGTCTGAGTCCCTATCACCCATGTTTTCTTCATCTCCCACTACTGCCCCACCAAACGTAGTTCTGTCTCCTTTGCCAGCCAATCCACCCCCATTAGCTCCTTTGCAGGTTTGTCGGCGTCGACCACGGCCACCTCCACTACCATCAACTAATGCAGAAATCACCATAGACTCCCCTCCGGATCCAACTCCTTCATCCCCTCCGGTCCTGCCCCCTGAGACTGATCTCCCAATTGCACTTCGCAAAGGTATACGTTCCACTCGTAATCCATCTCCTCATTATGTTAATTTGTCTTATCATCGCTTGTCTTCTTTGCATTATGCTTGTATTTCCTTTTTGTCTTCTGTGTCTATTCCCAGGACTGTAGGTGATGCTTTATCTCACCCTGGCTGGAAACAAGCTATGCTTGATGAGATGTGCACTCTTCAGAAGAGTGGCACGTGGGACCTTGTTCCTCTTCCTCTTGGAAAATCTGTTGTAGGTTGCAGGTGGATTTTCACAGTCAAAGTTGGGCCCGATGGACAAGTTGATCGTCTCAAGGCACGTTTAGTGGCCAAAGGTTATACACAGTTGTTTGGCCTAGATTATGGTGACACCTTCTCTCCCGTGGCTAAAATGGCCTCGGTTCGATTATTTCTCTGTATGGCAGCTATTCGCCATTGGCCCCTTTACCAGCTTAACATCAAGAACGCATTCCTCCATGGTGATTTGTGTGAGGAAGTTTATATGGAGCAACCTCCTGGGTTTGTTGCTCAAGGAGAGTCTTCTGGACTAGTTTGTCGTCTTCATAAGTCTTTGTATGGACTTAAGCAATCTCCTAGGACTTGGTTTGAGAGATTTAGCACTGTTATTCAAGAGTTTGGTATGACGCGATGTGAAGCTGATCATTCAGTGTTTTATCGTCAGTTGTTGGGTGTATTTACTTAATTGTGTATGTGGACGACATTGTCATTACAGGTAATGATCATCATGGAATCACACAGGTAAAACAACACCTTTGTCATCATTTCCAGACAAAAGACCTCGACAGACTTCGTTATTTCTTGGACATAGAAATTGCCCAATCCAAACGGGGGATTGTGATTTCACAAAGGAAGTATGCTATGGATATTTTGGAGGAGACAGGATTGTTAAATTCCAAGCCAGTTGACACTCCGATGGATCCCAATGCTAAACTTATGCCAGCTCAGGGGGAGCCACTCTCTGATCCTGAAAAATATAGAAGATTAGTTGGAAAACTGAATTACCTCACTGTTACTCGCCCAGATAATTCATTTCCTGTTAGTGTGGTAAGTCAATTTCTTAACTCTCCTTGTGAAGGACATTGGGAAGCTGTGATTCGCATCTTGAAATATATTAAAGGAGCTCCAGGAAAAGGCTTAATCTATGAAGACAAGGGACACACTCGAGTTGTAGGATACTCAGATGCAGATTGGGCAGGTTCTCCTTCTGATAGGAGATTCACCTCAGGTTAGTGTTTTCTTGGGTGGTAACTTAATATCCTGGAAGAGTAAGAAACAAAGTGTAGTGGCAAGGTCAAGTGCGGAAGCAGAATATCGAGTCATGGCAACAACAACCTGTGAGCTTATATGGCTTAAACAATTGCTTCACGACCTGAGATTCGAGGATGTTTCACAGATGACACTTATTTGTGACAATCAGGCAGCTATGCATATTGCATCAAATTCAGTGTTCCATGAGAGAACCAAACACATTGAAATTGATTGTCATTTCATCAGGGAGAAGATTTTATCTAGAGATGTCAGCACTAGTTTTGTCAATTCAAATGATCAGTTAGCTGATGTTTTCACTAAGCCTTTGAGAGGTCCTCGAATTAATTATATTTGTAACAAGCTTGGTGCATATGACATATATGCTCCAGCTTGAGGGGGAGTGTTAGATATCAGAATATTCCATATTATGTAAATAGAATATCCTGTAAATAATTAGGATATCATGTAAATAGGAAATAGAATATTATGTAATTATTATAGAATATTATGTAATTACTATGGCATTTATGCCTCCTATTATATATAATGAGCTCCGATGTGTAATTCAAACACACGGATTTAATCCAACCTTCCTCTTGTTCTCTCATTATTCAACATACAGCATATAAGAAAAAGAGAGAGGATTGAGGGGAAGAGATATCTAACCATGACCAGCATCAGTAAGATCAATCACAACTTTAAAAAAGGAAAAGTCCAAACTCAAATCTGATTCACCCGCAGACAAGCTTGTAGCCCATCCTGCATATTAGATTTTATTTTTGAGTAAAATGAGACAACTCAATAACAAAGCTAAAATATGTCCATAAGAATGTATCAGAAAAAACATTGATTGACCCAGAGTGTATGGGATCGATAATATGCATATTCATGATGAAGGTAGAGGCAGCAGAAAGGAATTGCTATCATTACGTAAAGAATTGAGGGTCATTAAATGGTTCTGATTGATTCCATGCAGAGAGAGAATGTGAGAGAGGGAGAAATTATTCTTTTTGAAGCACTAACTCAACTATTCAGTGCAGGCAAGTATATAAGTATAAACCACAAATAAAGTTTCAATTAATAATAATATAATTGATACGAGCTAATAAGTCTATAATTCAGAATTACAAAATGGTATTTTATTCTTTATAACAGCAATAGATTCTACATTTCAATTTGGTCAATCAAAAGTTCAAATTCATACCTTCAACCATATAGACTTGTAGAGGGCTTTTGATTATTTTTAACTTCTTAAAAAGAAATATGAATTTTCTTTCAAACCGTTTCGTCTCTTATTCAACAAATAAGGTCTAAAGTTCCGAATAAAGTGAAGTCTTCCGTTTTGTTGGCAAATGGCAATATTGTTCATTAATGCTAATGATTATATCATTGCACAAAGCAGTCACTCTTGAAGCTTGTGTTATTCTTTTACCCCACAATTGAGGTAGCTAGCAATTTCTTACACTGATCAATTTCTTACACTGATCAATTTCTATGAGGCATTTCGGTAATTTTCACCAAGGGTTGGGTTTACGTGCAAATTTTAACCAAATTCTATGAAGCTATTCCATAAGATTTTGAAGAATAAAGCATCAAGGCCTCATCATTATGCCATAGCATATGCAGTGACTTCATGTTTAAGGCAGGAAACAATTGCCAAAACGTTTCAAGATGTTAAAGCCTCAACTTGCGACAAGCCGATACAATATTTATTACTTGTTTCATTTTAGCTAACACTGTTATTACTCAATTCAAAAACAATACTGAGAGGAAATTAGAGAGGGAAAAAAAGGAATTACTGAAAAAGAAAATTAGGAAGGGAAAAATAGGATGCTTGAGTGCTAAGAAATTGCATAACTACAAAAAAAAAAGACCAGTTAAAATTATTTCCATAAAACTAATCCTGTCCGTCTTCATTTATTTATATTCACACCCATTTTGATATTTGTGGTAATAGAGGACTCGGGTGAACGTAGTATTCTGAAATCTGGATCTTTTTTTGCCTAGGATCAGTTTCAAAAGAGGTGACATTTATGAGGAAATTGAGAATGAAATATGCAAACAGAATTACAGTACCCACCTAATTTTTTCAGAATGTAATATAAAGACCCTTCTCCTTCATGGCCAATAAGATGAGCAAGATACCTGCTTGGCCCTTCCATGTAATGCAGAATTTCAGGGGTCACTGGCCATACAATTCTTAATTTATGACCTTGTTTTATTGGGACAGTCCTGACAACAATCTACAACAGAAAACCGAAATGGAATATGCATTAGAATCAATATTGAAGGATTTGTCTATACTTCATTATTGAGTAACATCTAGAAAACTAATACCTGTAAATGATCTGATTTGCATGGCTGACTAGAGGTGCGAAAATAATCTCGATTGGTGTTTCTAATATCTTTGAACTTTTCTTCAACAAGGTTTTGAATTTTATCAAGGCTTTCTGAAAATATCCATGCACAATATTGTATTGTGGGCATTTTAAAAATAGTATGTTAAACAAGTATTTTCTCAACAAAACATCTGTTACCATTTGTATATACAACGAGGTGCATTAGATTAGCAGAATAGTTTTCTTCATGGAATTTGATAAGCTCACTCCTTGTGTCTATTCCTTTAGTTTTTGGTCTAACTTCCAAAGTGTCCCAGTTCCCTTACAGAACAAATATTTTAGAACATTAAGAGTAGTGGTTATGATGAAAACATTAGAAGCATGAGAGCAATGACAAATATTTCAAATTAGTTTGAAAATATTGAATAAACTATAACAATGTTATGCATACTTGTAGAGTTTCAAGCACTAGTCACCATAGCCAGATACATGTAAAATCATATTAACATAAAACTCATGCACTCATATATAAAATCAATGTTCATTTAAACACACAAAATGAGAGGCAATAATATTTCTTTAAAATTGTAACAATGCATTATGGAAAAATGAATCACGAACAGAGACAAATTCTAAGAGCTAATGAACACAGACTAGAAATAACAAGGCTAAAATAAACACAAATCTAAAAAACTACAAAATCTAGCCCTTGACATTCACTGTCATATTTGTAAATCAGCCAAGTACTTTCAAAAAATGAATTCTTGTTAGGAATTAGGATGTGTTTGGGTAAACTACTTATTGAATAAGTAATTATATAAGCACTTAGGTATAAGCTATCTATCTATATAAAGAGAGGATATGAATGAACTGTTTTCATACATGTTATATGATGTTTTCATAAGATATCTAAAACTTGTTGAAATTAACTGAAATCCAAATACTTAAACTCGTGTGTATGCCATAAATTAAACTTAAATTAATTGTAGGTAAGCTCTTCCAAACTCATCCTTAGGAAGAAATATAATGTAATACTCCCTCCCTCTCATAAAAAGTGTCTCATTTGCACTTTTTTGTCTCAAGATAATTGTCTCTTTACAAATACCAATGCAACATTTATTATTTTATTCCATTAGTATACCCTTATTTATTAACTTTCACTTTATTCATCTACTCTACTAATTACATTTAAGAAGGGTATTCTAGTAAATGATACTAGTTCTATCATTAAAATCAACATATCTAATCATTTTCTTAAGAACCGCACATAGCTCAAATAAGACACTTTTATGAGTTGAAAGGAGTATTTTACCAGATTTGCACAAGAAAATGCAGAGTTAGGTATTAGTTCTTTGATTAACTAAAATAGGATGGGGGAAAGTTAATGTTGTCTCAATGAGAACAAGCGTTGAGAGAATGAATAGTAAAACATTTAGAGTTTATAAAAGTAAAAGTCAACCACTGACCTGTGCTAAATTTATGATACGGGTGATCTTCAGCAGTGAGATGTTTCTGAAGCTACACAGATAGTAATGTTTCATAAAAGGAGAGAAAAAGAGAGATCATAAATATTTCTCCAAGGGCCATAAAACATAACATGCAATGCCATGCCAGTAAAGTAGCTTAAGTACACATTGAAGAAGAAAAAAAACAACTACTAGAGGAGACTAAACTAAGAGAACTGGAAATGAAACATACCAGACCAACTTCCTTGAACAACAGAAAACACTCATAAATCTATTTCAAGCATGTTTTCGTTTGTGATTGCAGTCCAAAACTGTGTGTTCTCAACACTCAAATATGATTCATTAAATATTTGGACACGCTTTTGCTTTATTTTTCAAACGTGGCTTAGGGAGGAAATGTGGTTTTCAAAGAAGCAACTCAATCTAGCTTTTACATTCAAGTAGATAATATCCTAACATAAAGGCTTCACTTTAAACATATTTCTAACTAAGCCAGTTTACAGAATCAAGTTCATCCAAAACTATGTTTGTCAAAGGCTCACCTAAACACACACTTTAACAATTAAGTAAATGCAATTTCAAGATTAATTAAATTAGTTAATCCTATGTTAAGTTGATTAACAAAATAGGCAATCAATTGAACTTTCCCCAGCTTTTTTAAACACCTGATCCAATGATCAAGCTGGAAGACTAAAAATCCCTCCAATTTCATATCCTTGTAGGAATCCTCAACCCAAATAATTTTAGGGACACTGGCCTCAAGTTCAAGCATCAGTAATTGACAAACCGAGTTTCTTCATATTCAACAATGCAGCGGCATTAGTGAAAGCTAGACAGCCCATCCACAATTGAAAACAAAGACAAGACTATTTCAAGAAAGTGGATATTTAAAGCAATAAAATAAGAGAATCCTTTTTAAGACTGCATCACATTTTAATTGGATAACCACCAATAAACGCTATCTAATTGATGCAGCGGGGTTAAAATGACATAACAAGTGCATGCACACACTTGTCTTGGCTAACTATATCCTATATTTGAATGCAATAAATGAGTTGTTCACATATTTGAAACATAACCGATAGCCATTTAAACCAATCAAGAATCTCAGTTCAAAAAAAATTGATGAATACAGAAAAAGATCTTGAATATTAAAAATATACTCCGTATCCATCCTAAATAAAATACAGATCACTTGCTCCACGGTAATATTATAGGAAATTATTTTCCATAACAGCACATTTTAATGCTCTTTTCAAACAACCATATTTATCAAACAATAAAAACCAATGTAAAAGCAATAACAGATACCTGGTTCATTCTCCACCCATCAGATAATAAATTTTTCTGGTTTTCTGTAACAAGCAAATCAAATAAATAACGAGAGAAATAAAACTAAAGGCAAAAAGTATTATTGTAAAAAAGAAAAAGACAAGAAGTAATTTAAAAGATCAGCTAACCAGAGTCAACAGCTTTAATTTCCCTCATGGTGGCATCAGCGGACATCAATGGTTTAGTAAAGAATTGAGCAAATCTGGAAGACAAACCATACCCCAAGTTCACAATTGCTACAATAGAACGTTGTTGCAAGGAACTACATATAGATATCAGAAAAATGGGATCTACCTGTCAAGAGCCTCTTCAAAACCATCAGTGTTTACATCAAAAAAATAATTGGTGTTCTCAGAAGATGTAAAAGCATTGGTGCTTCCTCCATGCTGTGTGAGGGAGGCAAACCACATCAATGACCAAACAAAAGTGATGAGCAAAGAAATATAAGAATAACTTAAAACTGAAAAATCAAAAATAAATTAACAAAGAAACTATATGGATCAAGAGGAACCTTGTTCGAATTTCAGTCTTTTATGAAAGAAACAAACATATAAAATCAATTGTGACTTTGTCTACGAAAAAGTTATTTCCAAGAAAATGATCATCGTCTAAATGAACGGATCCAGACATTTTGATAAGTAGGGGCATGACCATATACTATAAACATTTATGTAAGAGTACATCGGCGAGCAAGCAATAAAATAATAAGATTTCAAAATTATACCATTATATATCCAAAAATCTATAGACACGTCGACTTCTACAAATTATACATGTTATCTACGTGTGCATTTCTATTTTAAAATTATTTTATATTTACTCATTATCAACACCATCAAAAATATAATTATCTATCTATATAACTAATAAGCATTCAATAAGTTACCTGTCACACTGGTGTACATTTGATTCTTCACAAATTAAATCATTTAGGCTTATCATTAACTTATTTTTAATTTTGAAAGGGAGGGTTTTGAAAAACGATTTTTTTTTAAATAGAGAAATCTTTAACATTTTTTTGAAAAAGGATTTTGTTTAGAATGATAAAATAGTGCTTATCATTAACTTATTTTTAATTTTTGGAATACTATAAGAACATAAATTATATTTGAATAATTTGTCTAAACCCTTCAAACCCCTCCCAACTAAAATCCTTCTATTCTTTTCACTCTATCCTTCCCTTTTTTTCAAAGTCCTTCCCTCCCTTCCCCTCCCCTCCAAACTCCCAAAAAAAGCCTAAGTAAACTTTAGTGGGACAACACATAATTTTAGTAAGAAAAAATAAATTACTCAATAACTGATAATAAAATACAAAATATAATGGGGCTAACTACCCCCAATTGAAGAGTGTGTTTCTGTCCCTGGCCGTGTATGTCAAATGTCAATCACTTAAATCTAGTAATCAGTATGCAATTTTCCTCATGAGGTTTTTTTATGGTCCTCAAAGCCACTTTATTTGTGATAAATCTTACTGTATACTGTTTGCCACTCCGGCTTGGGGGATTGTGTTAAAATGTTTCTCTTATCTAGGGAAAATATATCATTATAAATATATTGTTGTTATTAAAATATGATTTGCTAGTTTTTTAATTATTTTCATATTTTACAAGTTTCCTAAAAGTAGAGATCCTAAAAATGTTATGCACACTCAAATGCTCCCAAATAATTTCCCTGGGCAACTAAGAAACCTGGTCTTCCTTTTTCGAATAACGCTTCCTGGAAAATTTCAACAGTGACTAACATCCTACGCAAAGTATCAATAAGACCAGGGTGCATATTAACAAGGAGCAGATACTCCACTCAACTTTTACATCTTCATAGTATTTTCAAAGAATATAATTGATTTCATGAAGTCTATAAAGAAAAAAAAGGCTAAAAATCCAGCAACAGCCTCCAAGCAGAGTGTTAACAAAATCCAATGTAGAACATTTTTCTCTGGGAGAAACAAGGTCAACAATACAAAAATTACGGTACCTCAGTAATATACTTGGAGTAGCTATCTTCCACAGGATACTTTTCGCTAGCATAAAACAGCATGTGCTCTGTTAACAAAAAACACAAACGATTTCAACCATAAAACAAAACCGAAATAAATAAATATTCAACATCCCACTCTAATGAACTACTATATCTTAAGCTATAAATAAAATTTTATAAAAATTAGGGAAATCCAAATACTAGAACTTCACTTTTTATTTTTCTGTTTCATACTAAATTACATAAAGGGTTTAGATCCTAAAAGTATCAACACGAGCATCACGAGTAGCAAGTGCCTCAATAAATAGCTCCTTTTATTGAAGTGCATATCCAACATCCATTGTTTATTTCTTATTAGCAGGGTTTCAAAAAACAGTCAGCGACCGTTTTCGGTATCTGCATATGTTGATACCGATGCTTTATCACTGTTTTTATGTTGAAGAACAGATTGCAGTTAATTCTCACCGTGACGACTGAATTCAGTGTTGCGACACGCAACTGTGACCTTTTTTAAAACCCTGCTTATTAGTACATGCATTTTGTAGCAGGTTTCACTTCACAGTTCACGTTATCACTAATCTTCTATCAATCTTCAAACAATGAATTCTCATCCGTTCGGATAAAATTCTACACAGTGAAAATAACAAAAACAAGTATGCGAAACGAAAAAACGATAAACACCTAGAAAATGTGCGAGGCCTTCAAGACCAGCAGGATCAGAGAAGTAACCAACGCCAACGCTCATAGAAGCAGCACACTTCAAAACACACCAAAAAAAATCGAAATCAGATAGAGAAAGCATGGAAATCATCGTAAACACACGATGTAAAGAGTGACTGAATCGAAATGGGAAAAACGAGATCGGAGAGAAATTAACCTTATCGGTATCGGGATCGCTGATGAGGAGAGCTTGAAGAGAGTTGCCAAGAACGATTCTTCTGTAATCCCTCTTGTCGATTTGTGCCTTCACAATCTCTGAGTTATCCTTTCCCGCCGCCATTGTTCGGGTTCGTTCTTTCGTGCTCGCAGTGATGTAAGGTGGTTTCTGTTCGTTAGGCTCGAAAGTCCAAGTGAGGAAAAGAGAGGCTTATCTTGGTGTCAATTGCGTGGGTTTTTCGTTAATTGTTATACTACACTGCTCCAGGACTTACCTGGCGTGTACGGTGCTCTGGCTACGATTCTAACCACGGCGTGTCTTTGGGTTTGGGACTTCTAGCGTGGATCTTTCCGCTTTTGGGGACTAGACTTAAAAAGTAATTAACTTGTTAATCGACAGAGTCAAGATGATGAATTATTCTTAAGTACTAGTACCATTTTTAATTCCAATCAATGAAGCTTTGTCCAATAAAAAATGAGACTTTAATAATGAGGGTGTCAAAACTTGTGAAAGCCTCACAAAATTTGAAAATTCATCGGTTTTACACATGATCCTTATGTGCTCGTTTGTTTAAAAATAATTATTCTCTTCTTCAAAATTATTGTTGTTTTAATAAATAATACTTAGTTTGCGTTTGTGTTAAAATGTTTCTCTTATCTAATTGAAAGATTTCTCTGAAGAAGAACATATCACTATTGGGGATGAGACACCAACTGATGTAACCACATAAAACTTGTACCAACATCAACCTCAACACCATTTATCCTTGAATGCCATGAAAGGGGATTCCAACTTATTTGTGCTTAGATTTTCTGGTTTAGTTGGAAACATCAAGGTGCAAGTGCTAATTGATAGAGGTAGCTCTGATAACTTCTTGCAGCCTCGGATAACTAAAATTTTGAAGATACCTATTGAACCAGGCTCAATATTCAGAGTGCTAGTAGGAAATGGTGACATGATGACAGCGGAAGGGGTCATTCATGATTTACCATTGAATATACAAGACAATGAGTTGAAAGTACTTGTATTCTTACTACCTGTAGTCGGGGCAGATGTGATATTGGAAGCAGCTTGGCTAGCTACATTAAGACCACATGTAGCTGATTATGCTTCACTTACATTGAAATTTTTTTCAATAGTAAGTTTGTGACATTAGAAGGTGAAAGAGCTCTCAAACCTACAGTAGCACAACTACACCATTTCGAGAGACTCTATAGTACTGATGCTATAGCGGAATGTTTTACAATCCAATGGCAACAAAATTATATTATTAAAGATGTTTAGAAAGAGTTACCTACCAATATTGATCCTGAGATGGCCATATTACTTCACACTTACAAAAGTTTGTTTCAACAACCAACTACATTGCCACCTAACAGAGCATACAATCATGATATTCCATTGATGTAAGGCTCTAATCCTGTCAAGGTTAAACCATACAGATATCCACACAGCCAGAAGACTCAAATTGAACACATGGTACAGGAAATGCTACAACAGAGGATTATACAGCCAAGCACAAGTCTATTTTCTTCACCAATTATCTTGGTGAAAAAGAAAGATGGTACATGGAAGTTCTGCACTGACTATAGAGCTTTAAATGCTATAAATATCAAGGATTCATTTCCAATTCCCACAGTTGATGAGCTATTAGATGAGCTCTTTGGAGCTGGATATTTTTCAAAGTTGGATCTCAGGTATGGCTATCATCAAATACTGCTACAACCAAAAGATAGACACAAAACAACTTTCAGGACACACCAAGGCCACTATGAATGGTTGGTCATGCCTTTTGGTTTAACCAACGCACCGACAACATTTCAGAGTCTCGTGAATCACATTTTTCAGCATGCTTTGAGAAAATATGTGTTAGTATTTTTTAATGACATACTAGTCTATAGCCCTACATGGCAGGAGCATTTGAATCATTTAGATAATGTATTAGGCATACTGCAAGCCAATACAATGTTTGTCAAACTGTCTAAGTGTTCCTTTGGAGTTTCAGAGATTGAGTACCTTGGACATGTGGTAACTGGACAGGGTGTTTCCATGGGCAAGGATAAAATACAAGCTGTTCAAGATTGGATCTTACCTAAAAATGTGAAGCAATTAAGAGGGTTCTTAGGTCTCACAGGCTAATATAGGAGATTTATAAAATCTTATGCTAAGATTGTGGCTCCCTTGACTGGTTTATTAAAAAAAGAAAGTTATGTGTGGAATGAATAAGTTGAGACAACTTTTAATCAATTGAAAACTGTCATGATTTCTGCTCATCTGTTGGCCTTGCCTAATTTTCAAAAACCCTTTATTTTAGAAACAGATGCTCCTGGTGTAGGGGTGGGTGCAATGTTGCATCAATATGGTCACCCTATTGCTTACTTCTCAAAGAAAATAGTCCCTAAAAATCAGAAGAAATCGGCTTACTTTAGGGAAATGTTAGCTATATCTGAAGCAATAGCTAAGTTCAGACACTATTTGCTTGGACATAAATTCATTATTCGTACCGATCAAAAGAGCTTGAGGAGTTTAATGGACCAGTCTCTACAGTCACCAGAGCAACAACAATGGTTACATAAATTATTGAGGTATGACTTTACCATAGAATACAAGCCAGGCAAAGAAAATATTGCAGCAAATGCCTTGTCTAGATTAATGACACTATCATAGTCTGAGCCTCAGTGCCAATTTATTCAATCACTTAAAGAAGGGTTGAAAGTAGATAGCCAATGGAAGGAAGTCATGTATAAATGCATACAACAAGGAAATTCTTATTTACATAACACTTTCAAAGAAGGCTTACTATATTGGAAGAATAGAATTGTCATCCCTCAACATAAAGATTTGGTTCAACAAGTCCTAAATGAATTCCATTCATCTCCAATAGGTGGTCATGTTGTAATTACTAGATTTATGGCCAGAATTAAGGCTCAATTCTATTGGCCTGCCATGAAGAGAGATGTATCTCAATATGTACAAAACTGTATGGTGTGTCAAAAAGCTAAAACAGCCAATACCTTGCTTGCTGGATTATTACAGCCATTGTCTATACCATCACAAGTTTGGGAGGATGTAGCCATGGATTTCATTACTGGTTTACCGATGTCTTTTGGCTATACTACTATATTGGTAGTCATTGATAGACTAAAAAGTATGCTCATTTTTTACCAATGTGTGATACGGTGGCAGAACCGACTATTTTGAAAATGCTGGTTTGCATTTTACGTTTTTTGTTCATAAAATGTCGCGGTAAGCAAGAGTCGCCACCGACTTTTATTTCATCTAATTGGAAAGGAAAAAAGCACAGAAAAAAAATCATTTTTTCGAGATTTTGAGTACGGGGGATAGATTATAGAAAGGGAAGGTGTTAGCACCCTTTCTATCCATGGTTTTCCATGGGCTCTTAGGTACTTGCTCACCTTTTAAAATTGCTTGTGTGTGTTTATTTTGAAAAGTTTTGTTTTGCTTCGTTTTAACCCTTGTTTCTGTCCTCAAGAGTGTTACGAAGTTGTTTTTGAAAACTGTTTAAAAAGTGTTGATGTGAAAAAGTTTGTTTGTTTGAGCAAGTACCTAGGAACTAACTTACCTACTCGAAAAAGGTCTGTTCGTTTTCCTTTAGACAATGCTATCCTATTATTAAGGAATAGGTAGCACCGCCGTTGGATGTGTAAGGGTCAATTCGAAAGGGACATGCGATCACTAAAGCAATATTAGGACGTCTTAGTAATGATCCTAGAGTCTTAAGATCATATTCGAGGCAACATATCCGAGGCAACGTTTCCGAGGCAACCTTTTCCAAACAGGACTTTTGATCTTTTTTAGACAGGAGGGTAACCACTAAGACACCCTATACTTAATGATCGCTTATCGAAGGCAACCGAAGTGAGAGTATACCCTAAGAGTGCACATGTGCGAGTGATTTGATTTCAGTTATTATCTTTGCACATTAGGGTTTTCTAACCATTTTAAATTATCATGCAATCTTGTCATACAATCCTATTAGCATACATCTAAGCAGTTAATATTTGCGAAAATTAAAATGCGAGAAAATAAACCTACGCTATTACAAGGCTTTGGGGTAGGGATTAATTACATAGCCAAAATAAAACCCGTAAAAGAGGATAAATAAAGAAAATCCTAGATTAAACTATTACATACCGTGAACAGTTACAACAATATTGTCGAGAATAAATAATCAGTGCGCGGAAAATTAAATACGAAGCGACTAGGGTTTTGACCCATGACTGAACCTAATTGTAATTGATTATAGTAAACATATTTTTTGTCATTTTTTGTTATTTAAGAAAGTAAGGAAACAATTGAGTTAAAAAACAAAAATCCTAAATTCTAATTAATTTAAATTGTGAAAGAAATTAGAATTGCCTTAAATTAATTAAACTAATTAAATTAAAAAACACATTTATTAAGAAAATAAGTCTTCTTTTTATGATTTTTTGTTGGTTATTTTTTATAAAAAAAAGGTAATTTTGGTGTTGATAAATAAAAAAAACAGAATAACTAAACAAAGGAAAATTAAAGAAAAATAAGAAATAACCTAAGGGCCTGCTGTCAGCGGCTCTGATCAGAGAATGATGGTCCATAAGATGGTGGTCCAGAGGATGGTGATACTAGGCCTGCTCCTGGCTGGTGGGTCCAGCAGATCATGACCAGAGGATGCTTGATCTGGTCCTGGTTGATGGGTTCAGAAGAAGATGGCCAGAGGATGCTTGACCTGGTCCTGGTTGATGGGTCCAGAAGATGACCAGAGAACGCCTGATATGGTTCTGGTTGATGGGTCCAGAAGATGACCCTCAGAAAGTGCAGGCGCTGGATCTGGTGAACACAAAGGGGAAAATTCCAAAAGCTCACGCCTGGGATCGAATCCAGAATCATGAGCTTATGACTTCCTTCTTCTGACCAACTGCGTTGGGTGTTAGTTTATCAATACAATAGAAACAAACAAATAGATCAGAACTACAGGCTTCTGGCCATAATAACGAGTCAGAATTTGAATCAGCCAGTCAGGTTGTGACACGCTATCATCTTCTTCCCTGGAACCTCGTTTAAAACTCTGAACCTTTACCTACAGACATGGCGCTGTTGCTATAACCTGCGTGCCTCAAACA